TGCCCCGAGTGGCCGTGGGCTCGGCCGCCCAACTGGCCACCTTCGCCTCCGCCCAGGACTGGGTCTGCCCGCACCAGGTGATGAGGAATGGGGGGGGGGGACCTGTGGGATCCAGCCCTATTTCCCCCCTATTTTGGGGGAGGAAAGCTGACGGTCGGCGCTCCCCGCAGTGGTTCGGGGAGGGCAGCTGGGCGGCCGTGCTGGCGGGGGGCATGGGGAGCGGCGTGGCCGTGGCGGTGACGATGACACCCTTCGACGTGGTCAGCACCCGTCTCTACAACCAACCCGTGGACGCCCGGGGGGCGGTAAGGACCAATTTTTGGGCAAAAAAATGGGGTGATGGGGTAAGGGGAGGGGTTTTTCCCCACGGGTGGCCTCCGGGCAGGGGTGCGCAGCCGGCTCCTCTCTCCCCAGGGCAAGCTCTACCGGGGTTTTTTGGACTGCATCCTGCAAATCTCCAGCAAGGAGGGGCTGCTGGGCTTGTACAAGGGCATCGGCGCCGTCTACCTCCGCCTGGGCCCCCACACCGTCCTCAGCCTCTTCTTCTGGGACGAGCTCAGGAAGATGGTGCAGCACCAGCAGCCCCCGGGGCCGTAGGACCAGCTCCCGCCGCCGTTAATAAAGGGGTTTTGGTTTTTTTTTTTTTTCTACTTTTTGGCGTCGTTTTGGGGTCTTTGGGGTGGTGTAAAAGAGCCAGGGGGAGGGGGGTGATAACCAGTCAAGCTGGGACCTGGAACGTGGCGATGCATCGGGATGGAGAGGATAACAGGATGCCTGGAGAAGTGGTTGAAGCACCATCCCTGGAGGTATTTAAAAGCTGGGCAGACATAGTGCTTAGGGACGTGGTTTGGTGATGGTTTTTATCAGGGTTAGGTTGGTGGTTGGACTAGATGATCTGAAAGGTCCCTTCCAACCTGGGCAATTCCATGATTCTATAAGGGTGATGATGGGGATGGAGGGGTTAAAGGTGCTGGTGGTCCCTTGGTCCCACCATGTGCATCCCATCACTGCATCCCTAATTTTCCCCTCCCCCGGGGCAGCTGGAGCTCTGACCTAGAGGAGCTGAGCTCCAGCTGCCCTGGCTTGCCCCGGCAATGATTTACTAGCCCGAGGGGCCGCTCCCAGCCTCCACCCCGTGGACCTTGGAGCCGGGGCCTGGTTACGCCGTGGCTCCTCTCCACCAAAAATGTTCTCTCTGGGGTCCTGGCTGCCGGGGCTGGCGTGGGGCTGGGCGCTGCTGGATGCCCTGCTGCAAGGTGAGACCCCCCCTCAACCCCCTTCCCCCCCCAGGGGTGGCCTGGGGACGGCTTGGGGGACACCCTTTGGTGTTGGGGGGACACCCCGGTGACCCGCTGCTGCCTTTTCCCCCGCAGGGTTGGTGGGTGCCTGCGCCGTCTCGGTGCTCTGCAGCCTCCTGAAGGTTTATCTCTACATCCAGTGCCTGAAGTAAGCACCGGCCGTTCTTCTCCCCCCACCACCACCCCAGGGCTGGGGGGGGAGGGATCCATTTTGGGGAGTCACCTTTGAGATTTGCCTTTGGGATCCACCCTCAGGGTGGGATGGCTCTCAGCACCCATGGGTGCTGGTGAGCAGGGCAGGGGTTGTGACCTCCTCTCCCCACCCCTTGGGGTGGGGGGGTCTCTGGGGCTGTCACCCCGTTATGGGGTGGTGGAGGAGGAAGGGGACCTGGCTCAGTGTCCCCCTCCCTGTCCCCAGTGACCCCCAGAGGCAGGCGGAGAAGGAGGCCATCCGGGCGCAGCGGTGGGTGCTGGAGCTGCTGCACGTGGTGGTGCTGACGGCCCTGCTGGCCCTGGTGGGCTCCCGGGTGGCTGCGCTGGTGGTCCTGGAGTTCTCCCTGCGGGCCATCTCCACCCTCCTCTCCCTCGGCAAGGTGAGGTGGGGACAGGGGAAACTGAGGCACAGGGGGGGGCCGTGGAATGGTGCAGCCCTCCCGGCAACGACGGGGGCTGCAACCCCACATCACCCTGCAGCCCCTTGCTGCAATGCATGTGGGGAGGAGGGGGGCAGGGGTGGGGGGTAGCCAGGGTCCCCTCGCTGCTCTGCAGCCCCTGTGGGGCGGGCAGGGGTGGCTGGCATGGGGAAAGCCCTGCATGGCTTTGCATGCATGCCTCTGCAACCGTGCATGCCCTCGCTGCGTGCTGCTCTGCAGCCCCTGTGGGGTGGGCAGGGGTGGCTGGCATGGGGAAAGCCCTGCATGGCTTTGCATGCATGCCTCTGCAACCGTGCATGCCCTCGCTGCGTGCAGCACCTGCGGGGTTACAGGGGGGCTGCAGCGCGGAGAAAACCACGCGTGGCTTTGGAGCAGCGCGTCCCCTTGCAGCTTTGTGACACCTGTGGGGAGAAAAGGGGAAAAGTCGTGGAGAAGTCCATGCGTGGCTTTCCAGCCATGCATCCCCTTGCTGCATGCAGTGCCTGCAGGGATACAGGGAGCTGCAGCATGGAGAAAACCACGCATGGCCTTGCAACTGTGCAGCCCCTTGCTGCTTGCAGCACCTGGGGGGAGGAGAGGGGAGAAGTCCATGCGTGGCTTTGCAGCCGTGCAGCCCCTCGGTGCTCTGCAGCCTCTGCAGGGAGGATGAGGGCTGTTGCATTCCCGAAATAATGCATCCCCCCCTGCTTGCAGCACCCGTGGGGCATATGGGAGCTGCATGGAGGAGCCTATGCATCCCCTTCCTGCAGCCTTTGTGGGGTGGATGAGGATGGCTGGCATGGAGAAAGCCCTGCGTTGCTTTTCATGCATGCATGCCTTTGCAACCGTGCATCCCCTCGCTGCTTTGCAACGCCTGCAGGGCTGCAGGGGGCTGCAGCACACAGAAAACCACTCATGAGTGGTGGGTGGCATGGAGGAAACCATGCATCACTTTGCATGCATGCATGCCAAGCAAATATGCAGCCCCTTGCTGCTTGCAGCACCCATGGGGGTCTAGCGTGGAAAAGACCACGCGTGGCTTTCCAACCATGCATCCCCTCGCTGCATGCAGCACCCGCGGGGGTTATGGGGAGGGGGCTGCAGCCTGGAGAAGACCATGCATGGCTTTGCAGCTGTGCATCCCCTTGCTGCTTGCAGCACCCATGGGGGTCTAGCGTGGAAAAGACCACGCGTGGCTTTCCAACCATGCATCCCCTCGCTGCATGCAGAACCTGTGGGGTCCAGCATGGAGAAAACCATGCGTTGCTTTGCAACCACACATCCCCTCGCTGCATGCAGCACCCGTGGGGGTTATGGGGAGGGGGCTGCAGCCTGGAGGAGGCCATGCATGGCTTTGCAGCTGTGCATTCCCCTGCTGCATGCAACACCCCTGGGGGTTAAGGGGGGGCTGCAGCCTGGAGAAGACATGCATGGGGGCTGCAGCCGTGCATCCCCTCACTGCTTGCAACACCTGCAGGATTATGGGGAGGGGGCTGCAGCCTGGAGAAGACCATGCATGGCTTTGCAGCCGTGCGTCCCCTCACTGCTTGCAACACCCCTGGGGATTAAGTGGGGGCTGCAGCCTGGAGAAGGCCATGCATGGTGCTGCAGCCGTGCATCCTCTTGCTGCTTGCGATACCCATGGGGGTTAAGGGAGGGCTGCAGCCTGGAGGAGGCCATGCATGGCTTTGCAGCCGTGCATTCCCTCACTGCATGCAACACCTGCAGGGTTATGGGGAGGGGGCTGCAGCCTGGAGAAGACCATGCATGGCTTTGCAGCCGTGCATCCCCTCGCTGCTTGCAACACCCCTGGGGGTTAAGGGAGGGCTGCAGCCTGGAGAAGACCATGCATGGTGCTGCAGCCGTGCATTCCCTCACTGCATGCAACACCCATGGGGAGAAGAGGGGAGAAGGCATGGAAAAGTCCATGCATCACTTTGCAACCACTCATCCCCTTGTTGCATGCAGAACCTGTGGGGTCCAGCATGGAGAAAACCATGCATTGCTTTGCAACTGTGCATCCCCTCGCTGCATGCAGCACCTGCAGGGTTATGGGGAGGGGGCTGCAGCCTGGAGGAGGCCATGCATGATGCTGCAGCCGTGCATCCCCTCGCTGCTTGCAACACCTGCAGCAGCTGAGGGGTCCGTCCCGCTCTGGCAGGGTGCCCACAGCAGCCAGCTCTACCTGCTGTGCCAGTACTCGCTGGGCTGCGGGGTCTCCTGCGCCCTCAGCTTCTTGCTGGAAGGGGCTCCCCACTCCACCTGCAACCTGGCGCTGGCGGCGGGGCTCGCGGGGCTACTGGCCACCTACGCCCGGCGCCTGGCCCACCACGTCTGCACCCTCTACGAGCTGCACAGCACGGCCCGTTACTGCGGCGTCTGCATCCTCCTCCTCGCCGCCGGGCACGGCATCCCCCGGCTGCTGCGGAAGGCGCTGGCCGTCACCTTCGCCGTGGCCGACCTGGCCGCCGTGGCCCTCATCAACCGCGACTTCCTCTCCACGGCGGAGGCCATCCGCTTCTGGACGCCCCTCACCATCTGCTACACCCTGCTCGTCATCCACATGCAAGGTGAGAAGGGGACCCAACCCCCAGTTACCCTCCTTTCCCCCCAAAAAAAAACCCCTATGTCCCAGTATGGGGCATCCAGGCAGTATATATGGGCAATATGGGGCATCCAGGGGGTGTATGGGGCATCCTGGGGCTATGTGGGGGTATAGGGGGCCACCTGGGGCTGTATATAGAGCTGTGTGGGGTATCCTGGAGCAGTGTGGGGGCAATATGGGGCATCTTGGGGGTGTATGAGACAATTTGGGGCTTTATGGAGGTATAGGGGCCCACTAGGGGCTGTACATAGAGCTGTGTGGGGCGTCCTGGAGCAGTATGGGGGCAATATGGGCCATCCAGGCGGTGTATGAGGCATTTGGGGGCTATGTGGAGGTATAGGGGCCCACCTGGGGCTGTATATGAAGCTGTGTGGGGCATCCTGGGGCAGTATGGGGACAATATGTGGCATCTAGGGGGTGTATATGGGCAATATGGGGCATCTTGGGGGCGTGTGGGACATTTTGGGGCTGTATGGGCCATCCTGGGGCTATGTGGAGGTATAGGGGGCCACTTGGAGCTGTATATAGAGCTGTGTGGGGCATCCTGGGGCTGTATGGGGGCAATATGGGGCATCCAGGGGGTCTATGGGGCATTTTGGGGCTATATGGAGGTATAGGGGCCCAGCTGTGGCTGTATATAGAGCTGTGTGGGGCATCCTGGGGCAGTGGGGGGGCAACATGGGGCATCCGGGGGTGTATATGGGCAATATCTTGGGGGCGTATGGGGCATTTTGGGGCTGTATGGGGCATCCTGGGGCTATGTGGAGATATAGGGGGGCACCTGGGGCTGTATATGAAGCTGTGTGGGGCATTATGGGGCAGTATGGGGGCAATATGGGGCATCTAGGGGGTGTATATGGCCAATATGGGGCATCCAGGGGGTGTATATAGGCAATATGGGGCGCCTTGGGGGCGTATGGGGCATCCTGGGGCTATGTGGAGGTATAGGGGCCCACCTGGAGCTATATATGAAGCTGTGTGGGGCATCCTGGGGCAGTATGGGGGCAATATGGGGTATCCAGAGGGTGTATATGGGCAATATGGGGCATCCAGGGGGTCTATGGGGCATTCTGGGGCTATGTGGAGGTATAGAGGGCCACCTGGGGCTGTATATGGAGCTGTGTGGGGCATCCTGGGGCATCCAGGGGGTGTATATGGGCAATATGGGGCATCCAGGGGGTGTATATGGGCAATATGGGGCATCTTCGGGGCATATGGGGCATTTGGGGGCTATATGGAGGTATAGGGGGCCACCTGGGGCAGTATGGGGCCAATATGGGGCATCCTGGGGCTGTATGGGGCCAATATGGGGCATCTTGGGGCTGTATGGGCATTTGGGGGCTATGTGGAGGTATAGGGGCCCACCTGGGGCTGTATATGGAGTTGCGTGGGGCATCCTGGGGGAAAGAAAAAAGAGAGGG